TAGAAAGTGAGACAAAACCTGCACACTTACTCCCAAACTGCCTTTAATAAACAAAATGACACCGTTTCGATCAGTGGATCTTCATCGGGTCACAGATCCACTGATCGAAACGTCATTTTGTTTATTAAAGGCAGATTGGGAGTAAGTTTGCAGGGTTTGTCTCACTTTCTGTGTTCACTGTGGTGGCCAGGAACGAGGTGTTATGGTATCAAAAATTGGCTTTTGTGAGGTTAAAGCCATGTCATGATCAAAAAACAGACCTGGAGTTGTGTTTTGCTTCATTCGCCAAGTGTCTGAGGTTACGTTTATATGACGACGGCCTGAACAGAAGACGCAAAACTGGCGTTGCGTCCTCACTTTTTATTCCGTGTTTAGACGGAAATCTGCGTGCATACGGTGACGCAAAAGTGTGTGGCATCAATTGGATATGCATGCCATCCGACATGTTTGTTTCTTTGTACTGTATGTATGTGACGTAAAGGCGTACGCGACGTGAGCAGATCAGACCAGAGTTTTGCGTCTTGGGCAGTGTAGACGGAAACGATACAACAAAGTGTATTCAGCTTTTTCTCGAGGGTGGTTTCAGATTTTTGCGTTTTTAAGTCCCAAAAACACCGTCATCGTCTAAACGAAAGGCACTTCTGATAAAATATCTTGTCATTTTTACCCGCAAATGTTCTCATGTAAACAGGTCCTGAGTATTCCTGTTTTTTTTTTAGTCTGTCTACATTGCCAAAGCTCAAAATGCTCTGTTCCACCTTGTGATGTCATGAAGCAATAGTTTTCAAGTTAACAGCTCCTTTTACCTTTTGTTCAGTAGAGACTGGCAATGACAGGGCTGAAATCATCCAAATGTCGAACAATTTCATCCCTGGAATTGTCGAATTCTACTTATGCGATGATTCATGCGATGCGAGGTTAGTTTTATTTCAAACATTATTCTATCAACACAGACATTCACATCGACAGTCTGGCGTAATAATACCATATTTTTCAGACTATAAGTTGCACTTTTTCTTCCCGTGTGACTTATATATTAAAATTTTCATAATGACAGGCGCAAGAGGCTCTCGTCTTGTGTGCCAGTGTCTGCTGCTCCTGTTCCTCCTGTACCACTGTCACTTCACTCTACTGCGCATGTCTCCTGCAGAAAGAGCCTCTGTCCTGCTGCAAGTAGTGAAATATTCAGGTGAAAACGGTAATCGAGCAGCAGAAAGAAAGTTTGGAGCGAGCGAGAAACTTGTGACACCGGGAGGATGCACCATAAAACTTTCCTGAAGTCACTGGACGGATGGACAAAGCCTGGACTTCAGTGACACAGAAACCATCCTGTCAGGATTCAGAAAGGCCGGAATAATTCTAACTGGAACTGATGCTGAGTCTGACGACAGCGACACAGAAGAGGAAGCGGCGCTATGTTTACCTCCGGAGATCACGGAGTTGCTCAGAAGTGACACCGAGGATGAAGAATTGAATGGATTTAGTGATCTGGAGTGAGATGGAGAGTTTGTTAAACTTGTTCTGTTCTGTTGTTTATGTTATAGTTTATCTGAAGAACTGTTCATATGTGACGTTAACAGTCTGTTGTTCTCTGTTCTATTGTTACTAGAACTTGACTTTCAAGCTGAAATGTTGGTTCCTGGTCTCAGATTTTTTCAAATAAATTTCCCCCAAAAAGTGTGACTACTCTGACTACTCTGGAGCGACCAGCGACCTCTGCAAATACAAGGACTGGATGGAATATTTTAAAAAGTGTCTCCACACGTCTCCAACACTCTGGCTCATGAGGAAATGAGATCCTATGTCCAAAATTCTGGACTGTTCCTTTAAAGCTCACAAGAGTTTATTTTGCGTAATACAGGACCTTTAAATCCGTCTAAAACTTGCTTTCAGATTGATTTGAATTTTAACATCTGCAAATGAGACCAATTCAAAATAGAAGTGAGGGAAGCTTGTTCACTGACGTAGTGCAAACTCGCTGAAGGTTTTCCCAGAGCGTCCTGTGTGAGTGATAGAGAGAAGGGAAAGTGTCTGCGATGTCTTGCTCTAGAGCACAGGGGCGACGCTAATTGGACGAGTGTCTGTGTGGCATCTGTTGAGATAAACAGGGAGGCTGCAGGAATCATCAGGGGCTGTCAGGGGGATTGGAAACAGCCCTCCCTCCCCCTGAGCACCTCCAAGCACATGCTCGCAGAAACACGGGCACAGACGCCGGCGGCCGAGTGTGTGCGGCTCTGAGGGTGGAGCCAACTTTTAAATCACCACGCACAAAAACAAGGTCGTAGTTAAAGGTGCATTGTGTAACTTTTCTAGTGGAGGGTCAGTTCTCCACAGAGATGTTATCAGTGTTGGGGAGTAATAGATTACATGTACCGGAGTTACGTAATCAGAGTACAAATTATGAGTAACTGTATTCAGTTACAGTTACTACAGTTTCAGTGAGTGGTAATTGGATTACGTTACTTTGTTGAAATAAATGGATTAAACGGTGGTATTTTCTAAACCAGGTCCAAACTAGGTCTAAACCAGGTCTAAACCAAGACTAAACCAGGACTAAAACCAGGTCTAAACCAGGTCTAAACCAGGTCTAAAAAGGTCTAAAAGGTCTAAACTAAAGGTCTAGGTCTAAACCAGGTCTAAAACTAAAGGTCTAGGTCTAACCAGGTCTAAACCAGGTCTAAACCAGGACTAAAACTAACCAGGTCTAAACTGGTCTAAACCAGGTCTAAACTAGGTCTAAACCAGGTCTAAACCAGGTCTAAACCAGGTTAAACCAGGAACTAAACCAGGACTAAAACCAGGTCTAAACCAGGTCTAAAGCAGGTCTAAACCAGGTTTAAACCAAGACTAAAACCAGGACTAAACCAGGTCTACTAAACCAGGTCTGGTCTAAACTAGGTCTAAACTGTCTAAACCTAAACCAGTAAACCAGTCTAAACCTAAAGCCAGGTCTAAACCAGGTCTAAAAGAGGATTTAAGAGGACTAAACCATACTGCGTGGACGTGTCTCCTTCTCTTCTATCAATAATATTTTTAATTTGGTTCAGTAAAGTCTGGGCTTTTTTATTTTCTTTTATCAGACAAAACATCTTATGTGAAGATCCTCATCTTTGCTTCTCTACAGCAAATCAAGTAATCCAAAGTATTCAGATTACGTTACTCACTTTAAGTAATTTAATGGATTACGTTACAAACTACATTTTGGTGTATGTAATCTGTAATCTGTAGGGGAATTACATTTTAAAAGTCACCTTCACAACACTGGATGTTATTGCTTCGTCTGGAATGTTTCACAGTGTGGTATTAAACATTTCTAACTTCATGGAGACCAAACCAGACCAAGATACAGGTCAGATCTGCGGAGTGGCAAGTATTTCTGAGCTATAAAACCAACTGTAATTGAATAAATGTAAGGTAAAGCAATGACATTTCCACAAAAAGGTGACAGAACCTCAAGTGAAAAGTTACATAGTTCATCTTTAAACTGCCAATAACAGGTTTTGATGATTCTGTAATTTCTATTTAATTTGGTGGGATAATACTTGTTGTAAATAAACTATACATTGACATGAATCAAGGAGCAATCTGCAAAGAAAAGTTGAGAAATATGTTGAAAATTACAGGAAATAGTGAGTTCTAAAACACGTTGATTCTGTCCAAAAGTTTGGCAATTTTTTTTTCTGATACTTCTTTTCTAATACAAGATTTCAACAAAATAATAATTATTATAATCTGATTTGTCACATCAAAATTTCTGTTATTTTAGAGGAGTTTTGGCCCTGTCTAGAGCACAGTTGCTAGGTAACAGTTCAGGAATTTCAACCAGGACGTAAAATTTGGAGTTTAAAAAAATTGCCATTTTAGTAAAATCCTAAATCAGAGGTCTTCAACAGGGGAATCGAGACCCTAGGAGGATTGGGGTCATATTAAACTTATTCTCTTGTATAATCCTGTGTATTTACTCTTATTTTTCTGTTACCTGATCGTATTCTGACGCTCCAGGGTAGAGAGGCCAGCCCAGGAAGAGCTCGGCGATGACACAGCCCAGGGACCACATGTCGATGGCCTCACAGAACGGAAGGCCCAGGATGATCTCTGGAGCTCTGTGAAAACATGAAACAAACTGGTCAGAAATACTCCACACACACACAAAAACTCCCACACAGGACTAAATTATAAATAAAACAAGTAAAACAAGTAAAGGGGAAAATGAACCGCACAAAAAACAAATACTATAAAGTCAATGCAGTGTGGCTATGCTGGACGACCACTATTACTGAAGATCTTTTTCCTTTATGTTTGTTTTTGTTTTGTGTTTGTTTCTTATGTCTTTCTCACTCCGGTTTCAAAGAAAAAACTGAGCCTAAATATGCAGGATTTGTGTGAATGTGAATGAAGCAAAACACAACTCCAAAGGAAAATATATTTTAACATGGATAAATATAACGTATTATGAGCCCTGTGTGTTGAAAATCAGTTTTAATCCAATGTAGTTGCTATGTCCAAATTAAAGGTGCATTGCGGAACTTTTCTGGTGTGGATCCGTCACCTGCTTGTCTCCATGGAGATGTTATTGCTTTGTCTAGAATGTTCCATAGTAGAAATTAAATCTCAAGTAGTGTCGTAGTACTCGAGACCGGTCTTGGTCTCAAGACTGGCCTCGAGACTTCTTCGTCTTGGACTTGACCGCAATTGGATTCGGTCTTGTCTCGAACTTGACCGTGTCTGGACTCGGTCTTGTCTCAGACTTGACCATGTTTGAACTCGGCCTTGTCTCAGATTTGACTGCATCTGGACTCGGTCTTGTCTCGGACTTGACCTTGTTTGGACTCGGTCTTGTCTGAAACTTGACCGTGTTTGGACTCGGTCTTGTCTCAAACTTGACCGTGTTTGGACTCGGTCTTGTCTCAAACTTGACCGTGTTGGACTCGGTCTTGTCTCGGACTTGACCGTGTTTGGACTCGTCTTGTCTCGAACTTGACCGTGTTTGGACTCGGTCTTGTCTCGAACTTGACCGTGTTTGGACTCGGTCTTGTCTCGGACTTGACCGTGTTTGGACTCGGTCTTGTCTCGGACTTGACCGTGTTTGGACTCGGTCTTGTCTCGAACTTGACCACGTTTGGACTCGGTCTTGTCTCAGACTTGACCGTGTTTGGACTCGGTCTTGTCTCGAACTTGACCACGTTTGGACTCAGTCTTGACTTGGTCTTGACCGTGTCTGGACTCGGTCTTGTCTCAAACTTGACCACGTTTGAACTCGGTCTTGTCTCAGACTTGACCGTGTTTGGACTCGGCCTTGTCTCAGATTTGACCGCATCTGGACTCGGTCTTGTCTCGGACTTGACCGTGTTTGGACTCGGTCTTGTCTCAAACTTGACCGTGTTTGGACTCGGTCTTGTCTCAAACTTGACCGTGTTTGGACTCGGTCTTGTCTCGGACTTGACCGCACTTGGACTCGGTCTTGTCTCAAACTTGACCGTGTTTGGACTCGGTCTTGTCTCGAACTTGACCACGTTTGGACTCGGTCTTGTCTCGGTCTTGACCGTGTTTGGACTCGGTCTTGTCTCAGACTTGACCACGTTTGGACTCGGTCTTGTCTCAGTCTTGACCGTGTTTGGACTCGGTCTTGTCTCAGACTTGACTGTGTTTGGACTCGGGCTTGTCTCAGATTTGACCGCATCTGGACTCGGTCTTGTCTCGGACTTGACTGCATTTGGACTCGGTCTTGTCTCGGACTTGACCGCATTTGGACTCAGTCTTGTTTTGGACTTGACCACATTTGGACTCAGTCTTGTCTCAGTCTTGAGGTGATAAAATTGAGATACATTTATAAAAACTTAGATATAAATGTGCCAAAATAAAAAAATATATAAAATACAAATAAATATCGAAAATTACAGAGATGGTCTCGATTTGGTCTCAATGGGTCGTGGTCTTGGTCTTGTCTTGGTCTCGGGACCCTGTGGTCTCGGACAGGTCTTGGTCTCGATTATTGCGGTCTTAACTACAACACTAATCTCAAGGAAGGAAAACAACTACTAGTATAGGCTACATTACAGGTCAGATCTGTGGAGGTACGACCCCACTCACAGTCAGAATATTTTTTTTAAAGGAATTTTTGAGCTATAAAACCACCTGTAATTGAATAAATGTTAAGTAGATCTGTTTAATGTCATACTGTGGAACATTCTAGGCAGAGCAATGACATATTAATAGAAACCCACATCCAGAAAGTTACCCAAAGCACCTTTAATAACAAAATAAATAAAAGAAAACAGCCACAATCATCTTTATCGTCTTTTATTTTTCCGCTTTTGAGTGTGAAAAGACCTCACACCAGAGAGTCTGTCAGTGGGGACTGTGTAGCTTCAAAGTTTAAAACATCATTCGGACAGACTAGTTTATCTTTTAAATAAATAAATGAATAAAAAAACAACAACTTGCAGCTAAAACACGCTCCTCAGTCCACAGAAGCGGCTGAGATAAGAAGGAGGACTAGTATATGTACGAGTGAGCTGGAAAAAACACAAACCCAAGCGACGTTTCTGAAAGCCAATACGATTTAAATAGAAACATGTTCACACTGAAAACTCACACAGACAATTTCATTAAGTCTTTCAGTGTGAAGGCTGCAGGTTACACAGCGCCGGATCGTTTAAAAGTCTCACGCCAAAGCTGCACATGTACGAGTATTTTCACATGAATGGCCTGACTTCAATGGCGCCGCAGACACACAATTATGAAAAGGGAAATTGGCAAACAGTCTCTTAAACCAGCGTTTGAGTAAGTCATTTTTCTGATTCGGAAATCAACCAGAAAGACGAGCCAGGTTCTGCGCCAAGTTTCTATGACTGTGTTTCGAGTACTGCTGCCACAATCAGCCAATCAAAGCTCTGGTTAATAAAAATATATGAAAAATTAGACAATGTTAAAGCTCCTATATTAAGCAAAATTTACTCCTATGAGATTTAAGCCATGTTTTAATGTTGTTACCTCCTCAAAAACAGACCTGGGGTTGTGTTTTGTTTCATTCACACGTGTTTTAGAGCGGTGAAAATCAAGTCTTGTCTGGTTTCAAAACTAGATACTAATTTGAACAGGTATCAATAACAAAAAAATCAATTTAAAAAATCCATAAACATGATATTTGACCTTTTCTGAACAGTTTTAGAATCCTCTTAAACTGTCTGAATTAGTTTAAGATCCCATGTTAACGTAAAAACAGCAAAAAGTGGAGTGTTAAAATTGACTCTCCCAGAATCAGTTTTAACATTTTTTCAGAGTTGATATGAGTTCAATCTGTTCTAGAGTTAATTTAACATTTTTGGAAATGGTAATTTAAAAGTAACTCTGGACCAAAGTTCCTGTTTAACCCCATAATCAAGAGTTATATTCACGTTTTGAGAGTAAACGGATAACACTTTGTAGAGTTATCCTGATTTAGCGAAACAACACACAGAGGTGTTTTATTTTACACTTTATTTTACTTAATTTAAGATGAAATTATGAACAAAACTGGTCCAAACTGGTCTTCTCTCACGGGAGTTTGAAGTGGTAGGTGGGAAGAGCCAAATTAACACTAAGGGAGGTTGAATTAACACTAGGAGAAGTTGAATTAACACTAAGGGAGGTTGAATTAACACTAGTGGAAGTTGAAGTTGAATTAACACTAATAGAAGTTGAATTAACACTAGTGGAAGTTGAATTAACACTAGTGGAAATTGAATTAACACTAAGGGAGGTTGAATTAACACTAGTGGAAGTTGAATTAACACTAATAGAAGTTGAATTAACACTAATAGAAATTGAATTAACACTAGTGGAAATTGAATTAACACTAGTGGAAGTTGAATTAACACTAGTGGAAGTTGAATTAACACTAGTGGAAGTTGAATTAACACTAGTGGAAGTTGAATTAACACTAGTGGAAGTTGAATTAACACTAGTGGAAGTTGAATTAAACCAGGGGAGGTTGAATTAGCACGAAGGGAAGTTGAATTAACTCCAACTCCAATCAACTCTGGTAAATAATCCCAACTCGAACCCCCATTTAACTTTCAAATAGTTAAAATAACACTTTTTGTGTTGAAAACAATTCTGAAATATTTCACCCTGAAATTTTAACCCTCCAGTTGTTGCTGTGTACTTACTTCATTCTTCCGTTATATTTTCTTAATGGGTGATACACGTAAGATTCAGCAACAGAAGTAATTTTGGTACTAATGAAAAAAAAAATAAAAAATAAAAAATGCTAGTGTGATCTGCAGCTGTCCACAGGAGGTGCCAACAACTTCACAGCTCTGAAATATTTAACCCTGAAATTTTAACCCTTCAGTTTTTACTCTGCCGTACTGTTACTTAGTGTTGATTAGAAACTATTTAGCTTAAAAAATATATATATATATTTATTTAAGTTTATTATTATTAGTCTGTTTACATCTCCGAAAATCTAAATTCTAAGTTAACAGCTCCTTTTACCTTTAGTTCAGTGGAAATTAGAAATCCCAGGGCTAAAATCACCCAAATTATTCTAGAAAAGGTGTAAAAACCCAGAAGAATTTCAGCATTAATAGGGTTTGTGTGTTAGTCATGTGTGAATGAAACAAAACACAACTCCAGGTCTGTTTGTGACAAGGAAAAAAAACATTATAACAGATAAGAAAACGGCGTAATATCTGCCCTTTAAGATTCCCATTACCTCTTTAGGTTTGTATTAATTACTTGGGATTAAACAGATCCCGGCTCGGTTGCCATGGTCACCAAAATCACATTAGGATCACGCTGATAAATTGTTATTAATTCATACTAACTCCTCTATTCTGTTTCGTTGCAGGAGAAGTGTGCAATAATGAAGTGCTAATCTTATCATTTGGTTACACATTTAAGCCTGTGTGATTGTCTAAATTGCTACGGGAATTTTGCTTTGGAATTTTAATTTTTATTTTTTAAATGGCTGTAGGAGAATCATTTTAACATTGTCTATTTTTCAAGGATTTTGCCACAGGAGAGACGTAATGATGTTTCCTCATCAAAAACATACCCTGGAGTTGTGTTTTGTTTTTATTTAGGTTCTTCTCTCAAAACAGGAAACACTCTGTTCCAC